CTACTAACTACTAACTACTTACTACTTACTTCTTACTACTTACTACTTACTACTTACTACTTACTACCTACTACCTACTACCTACTACCTACTACTTACTACCTACTACGTACTACGTACTACCTACTACTTACTACTTACTACTTACTACTTACTACTTACTACTTTCTACTTACTACTTACTACGTACTACGTACTACGTACTACGTACTACTTACTACTACTACTACTACGACTACTACCACTACTACAACAACAACAACTACTACTACTACTCCTACTACTACTACTACTACTCCTACTGCTACTGCTACTGCTACTGCTACTGCTACTACCACTACCACGACTACGACGACTAAGACGACTATGACGAGGACGACGACGACGACTACTACTACTACTGCTACTACTAGAAGTAGTAACAGCACGCGCGGGTTCCGCGCGTCTGCGTTTCGCGCGGGTTCCGCGCGCGTCGTCGCTTTCAAATTTCTTCAGGAAATTCATGTATTACGACGAATATCACTACTACTTTTACTAATTATAATTTCATCAATTTTACGATTAGTATCATTTCTACTACATCTGCGATATTATTCCTACTACTACTACTTCTACTTCTACTACTACTACTACTGCTATTACTACTACTATTACTACTACTATTACTACTACTATTACTACTACTACTGCTACTACTTCTACTACTACTACTACTTCTTCTACTACTACTACTACTACTACTACTACTACTATTACTAGAAGTATAAATAGTACGCGCGGGTTCCGCGCGTCTGCTTTTCGCGCGGTTTCTGCGCGTTAAGCACGTCTGCGTTTTGCGCAGGTTCCACGCGTGTTGTTTAGCGCGGGTTCGGCGCGTGTAGTCGCATATGAAAGAAATTAATATTCTAATTTCATCAATACTACGATTAGTTTCATTTCTACTATACATCTAGGATATTATTACTACTACTACTGCTACTACTACTACTACTGCTACTACTACTACTACAACAACAACTACTACTACCACTACCTCTACCACTACTACTATTCCTACTAGAAGTATTAATAGTACGCGCAAGTTTCGCGCGTCTGCGTTTCGCGCCGTTTCCGCACGTTACGCACGTCTGCCTTTTGCGCAGGTTCCGCGCGTGTTGTCTTGCGCGGGTTCGGCGCGTGTAGTCGCATTCAAATTTCTTAAAGAAATGAATATATTACGATGAATATTACTACTACTTCTACTAATTGTAATTTAATCAATACTACGATCAGTTTCATTTCTACTATACACCTACGATACTATTACTATTGCTGCTACTACTACTACTGCTACTACTACTACTACTGCTGCTACTACTACTACTATTACTACTACTACTACTGCTGCTACTACTACTACTACTACTAGAAGTAGTAATAATACGCGCGGGTTCCGCGCGTCTGCGTTTCGCACGGGTTCCGAGTGAGTGAGTGACTCACTCACTCATTCACTCACTCACTCACTCACTCATTCACTCACTCATTCACTCACTCACTCACTCACTCACTCAACTCACTCACTCACTCACTCATTCACTCATTCACTCATTCACTCATTCACTCACACTCACTCACTTACTCATTCACTCACTCACTCACATCATGGCAGGCGTGGGACAATGTGCACTGTCAAGGGCCTCTTTTGCGTGGCAGGCATGGGGCAATGTGCACTGCCACAAGGGGTCGGATGTACGCCCCGGGGTTCCGCTGGCGTCCCTGGGTCTCCGCCTCTTTTGTGTGGCAGGCGTGGGACAATGTGCACTGCCAAGGGGTCAGATGTACGCCCCGGGGTTCCGCTGGCGTCCCTGGGTCTCCGCCTCTTTTGCGTGGCAGGCGTGGGACAATGTGCACTCGGATGTATGCCCCGGGCTTCCGCTGGCGTCCCTGGGTCTCCGCCTCTTTTGCGTGGCAGGTGTGGGGCAATGTGCTGCAGTGCCAAGGGGTCGGATGTACGCCCCGGGGTTCCGCTGGCGTCCCTGGGTCTCCGCCTCTTTTGCGTGGCAGGCGTGGTCCTCCTCCTCGCTCACCTCACTCACACACACACACTGTTGCACAGACACACACTCACACACTCACTCACTCACTCACTCACTCATTCACTCACTCATTCACTCACTCACTCACTCAACTCAACTCAACTCAACTCAACTCAACTCACTCACACACTCACTCACTCACTCACTCACTGACTGACTGACTGACTGACTGCATGACTGACTGACTGCATGACTGACTGACTGACTCACTGACTCACTGACCCACTGACCCACTGACTCACTGACTCACTGACTCACTGACTCACTGACTCGCTGACTCACTGACTCACTGACTCGCTGACTCACTGACTCACTGACTCACTGACTCACTCACTGACTCACTCACTGACTCAGACTCACTGACTCAGACTCACTGACTCAGACTCACTGACTCAGACTCACTGACTCAGACTCACTGACTCAGACTCACTGACTCAGACTCACTGACTCAGACTGACTCAGACTGACTCAGACTGACTCAGACTGACTCAGACTGACTCAGACTCACTCAGACTCACTCAGACTCACTCAGACTCACTCAGACTCACTCAGACTCACTCACTCCCTCACTCCCTCACTCCCTCCATCCCTCACTCCCTCCATCCCTCCACTCCCTCCCTCCCTCCACTCCCTCCACTCCCTCCGCTCCACTCCGCTCCGCTCCGCTCCACTCCACTCCACTCCACTCCACTCCACTCACTCACTCACTCTTTTGCGTGGCAGGCGTGGGACAATGTGCACTGCCAAGGGGTCGGATGTACGCCCCGGGGTTCCACTGGCGTCCCTGGGTCTCCGTCTCTTTTGCGTGGCAGGCGTTGGACAATGTTGCACTGCCAAGGGGTCGGATGTACGCCCCGGGGCTCCGCTGGCGTCCCTGGGTCTCCGCCTCTTTTGCGTGGTAGGCGTGGGACAATGTGCACTGCCAAGGGGTCGGATGTACGCCCCGGGGTTCCGCTGGCGTCCCTGGGTCTCCGCCTCTTTTGCGTGGCAGGCGTGGGACAATGTGCACTGCCAATGGGTCGGATGTACGCCCCGGGGCTCCGCTGGCGTCCCTGGGTCTCCGCCTCTTTTGCGTGGTAGGCGTGGGACAATGTGCACTGCCAAGGGGTCGGATGTACGCCCCGGGGTTCCGCTGGCGTCCCTGGGTCTCCGCCTCTTTTGCGTGGCAGGCGTGGGACAATGTGCACTGCCAAGGGGTCGGATGTACGCCCCGAGGTTCCGCTTGCGTCCCTGGGTCTCCGCCTCTTTTGCGTGGCAGGTGTGGGACAATGTGCACTACCAAGGGGTCGGATGTACGCCCCGGGGTTCCGCTGGCGTCCCTGGGTCTCCGCCTCTTTTGCGTGGCAGGCGTGGTCCTCCTCCTCACTCACCTCACTCACACACACACACTGTGGCACAGACACGCACTCAGTGACTCACTCACTCACACACACACACAAACTCACTCACTCACTCACTCACACACACACACTCACTCACTCACTCCCTCCCTCCTTCCCTCGCTCACTCACTCACTCACCCACCTACCTCACCTACCTCACCTACCTCACCTACCTCACCTACCTCCCCTACCTCACCTACCTCACCTACCTCACCTACCTCACCTACCTCACTCACTCACTCACTTCACTTCACTTCACGTCACTTCACTTCACTTCACTCACTTCACTCACTCTCACATCCCTCACTCACACACGCCACACTCACATCACTCACTCACACTCTCACTCACTCACTGTACATGAACATACATACATACACACAAACTCACCCACCATCACCGCTCCATCACTCTTATACTTCCTCTTCCCTTCTTGCTTTGCTATGCTCAGTCTAAGTCATGTGGGGTTATCCGGCCCTTTAATTTTCAATTCCAGTCATGCATTCGTGGACTCCTTGATGCAGGTGAACTTCTTCTGGATTATTTTTTGAATTCATGTCAGAAACGAAAACCCCTATCCTGCTATAGCCAGTACGATGTCTTTACGAGAACACCTGGACCGCTATTGTCTTCAACAAGCCATGGTTGCCGATCGACCTCCTCGATCTCGTTCTCCACCTCAACTCCGTGACCATCCAACTTACCGACCTCCTCCATTCTTTGCTTCTCCCGGATGGCAACCCCCTCGAATTCGGAACCACAGACCGATTATCATATCCAGATTGACCTCAAACCTATGCAGCAATTAGCTTTGACCGACTCCTACCACAATATTTTGGCACCGCAGGTGGCAGGCAATTTGGCGACTACGGACTACGATGGCCTCTTCAC